AAAAAATGACAAGTAAGCAGTCAGTAATAAAATAAGAACAAATAAAGAAATTAATAATGATAGCACAAATAAAAAATAATGACAGGCCTTCGAATTAAATAAATTGATTTTTAGTTTTTCAGGTAGGTCTAACAGTAGGGTTAAGATATTTAACTTTTTTTCTTTTTCTTTTTCTTTTACCAATTATCCAAACAATGTTTAGTCCTAGAAAGCTATTATTATCAGAACACGCAAGCATAACATAGCGGTTAGCAGATCAATGAATGAGAGGGCAGCGTTACCAGAGTTGCCCATATACCACACCATGTTACAGCACAGTAGGGCTATTGCAAACAGAAACAATACTGTACTACATCGATGTTTCCTGTCGGCTCAATTTTTGAGCATGAACGGTATAGGAGTGGAGCGACTGAGCGGAGCGCACACGCATAGAGAGGGATAATACGCAGAGCGTCACACCACGTGAAAGTGAAACCTGAGCGGTGAACTCATTTTCGGCAGCCGAAATGTCGGTGCATCTCTAATTATTGGCGACATCAGAAATGGATATTATATAATAGATGCTTTTTTTGAACATTTTAGCAAATTAAAAATATTAAAAAAGGATTTTTTACACGGCACCCCTGCTCTCGACAGACGGCACCCCGGTTGGGAAACACTGAGTTAGTGTATGCGTGTCGTTTTACTGAAAAAACAAAACAAAACAGACATTTGAAGCCTTAAGACAAACACTGTGGCCATGATGTTTGTTCTATTGTTTTAATTAACAGTATAGCGTTGTGCATACTCCCAAAGTGATATGAGAATTAGCACAAAAGAAAGAAACCCTGAAATGCTAGTTATGGCAAAATGAGGAGCGAGCTCCCTCTTGTGGTTTGATTCGAGACATTCCAGTAAACGGACAGATATTCACTATGATGCCAAAGAAGCGTTGAGCGACAATGGAAACGTTTTCAAAAAATTAATGAGGGAAATCATTCACTCTTTACACTAAACAAGGCCTTTTTTTCCGGGTAGCAGAACAAAATTACGGTCATATCTAAACATATGGCACTGCTCACAGTAATAGTCACATCAGTAAACAAAAATAAATTTCTGACATGTACAGGAATGCAAAAATGAAATAAAACATTGCCATTTCCACGTATTCTATGTATAAGTAATTTTACACGCTTGATTTTAAAGTGACAGTATCATAGCACTAATTGGTACACTGTGCCAAATATTGTACACATACCATCATCAAGAAATAGTAGTACAGTAAAATGAAATGATTAAAAAAAAAAGTTTCACCTTCTAATCTCTAGACTTCATATGGTGCAGTAAAAAAAAAAAAAAAAAAAAATCAGTACTAAACCATCATTTGCTTCAAGGCAACAGAATCTACAAATCAAGAGTTAACAGCCTACAACTTCAAATTAACAGCTTGCCTGATCATAAGCTCTCAAGGTTGCACGTGTACCTACAAGATTGAGACGTGGAAGTACCTGCAACTCCAGTGAAACATACTCAAGAACACTAGAGGCTAGTAGGGATTAAAATTGGGCCAGTTTTGATGTCTGCGACATCAATCACGAGTCCTCGAGTCCCACATGAGAGACTCAAACTCACTTTAATGTATTACTAGTGCATTCAAATGTGCTGGTGCAATAACAAACAATAACTGGAAATATTAAAGGCATAGTTCACCCAAAAATGAAAACGGCATCATTTATTAACTTATTAACTCGTCGTTCCAAAGCTTTATGACTAACTTTCTTTTGTGAATCACAAATTCTATGCATACAATGGAAGTCAGTAAGGACCAATTTCGTTTTGGACCCCATTGATATTCACTGTATGGACAAAAAAAACAAAAAACTTGCAGGTTTGGAATGACATGAGGGCGAGTAAATAATGACACAATTTAGTTTTTTTTTTTGTGAACTGTCCCTTTAAGAAACAGAATTAATGAATTTGTTGCTGATGTCATTGAGAGCGACTTTAAAGTAGTCAAAGCATTGTGTTCACCCTGAAAATGAGACAGTCTTGCACTGGTTTAAAGTATGGAGTCACTAATGTAGATTCTGTTGAAATGTACGGTATTCCTGAGAACAAAGGGGAGATTGGGAAGAGAACCTTCTCCCTAACAGCAGGCGGACTATGGGCACTGCGATCATGGCTTGAACAGGGCTGCCACTGAAAGATTGATCCAATTGGTGACAGGCTAAACACAGAAATAAAGCCTTCTGCGATGAGCCCCGTGACGCATGTCACCATTTCGATAAACGCAAACGTATGTATTTCAAGCAAACCGCAACGTACCTGGATGAAAACAAAACATCCCATGTGCGCACACACACACACACACACACACACACACCCGCAGAACAAATCAGCTGGGCTCACACCTTGCACAAGTTGCTTCTGATTTCAAGTATGCTACATCACCAAATTACACACAACTGATACTGTCACTTTAAAATGGGTTAAAAACAGTATTCACAAATGTACATTTAAGGCTTAATTGTTTAGCACTAACAATAATAGCAGCAGTAAAGCACTTCTGTATTAATAACAATAAATCAAAAAAAAAAAAAACATTAATAACAACAATATATTAAGGTGATCAAATGAAATGGTTTCTAAGATGAACAGCTTCATACAAGAGTCCGAACCTCCCCAAGAGTGATTTCAGTCCCCACCGAATGCAGAAACTTGGCCAGGCCTTGGACCCTTTTAAGCGAATACTTTTTTTTTTTTTTTTTTTTTTTTTTACTAAGCAGTTTCACTTCATGTCCAACCTTTTGCCCTGTATCTGTTAGAGAACACTACCTTTAGTAAACACACTACTTCACAAAAGTCGGAGACCACCATATTAATGACACATTCAGATTAGAGAAAACAAATTACATGTCCCCTGACATCAGATGCGTGTACCCTTCATCAGCATGTTCCTACAGGGAATCTGAAGGACTGGCTGTCCTTAAACATTTTGGAAGTGAATTCATGGTACAGTACAGTTACAGTAATGCTACACAGATTTAACAAGGCTGACGGAGAGCCCATTTCCGATGCCAGCCACCACTATGCGCTTAAAACATAAAATTCCCACAGTACCCTGGAGGTCAAGGTCAAGCGGAGAACAGGTTGCTTTGGGCTGAGCGGTATTTTTGAAACAGGTGACTACGCTGTGGGGACCGACATGTACGGTATGCTACTAGACAGACGAAAAATGAAAATCACACACTTGAAAACAAAATGTACCGAAGCAACACAAGTAAAGGCCATTTTTCACGCCAGAAAATGCTCGGCTGCAGTCTCCTGTTTAACTCCCTTTAGCTATCCGAACTCTGAGGCCTAATACTTCACACACCCTGATCTCTGCAGCTGAACCTCTCCAACATACATGTGTATATATTAACTATACTCAAATTTCTGATTTATATATTAAATCAAATATAAACACATACATGTTTTTGTCTTTTTTGTTTTTGTCCTTAGGGGACATGCGTTGCCTTCAGGCTGAAGAAGCAGCGCAACGAACCCCTCGTTCTTCCGCGCGTACGAAGGAGGACAGAGAATCCGAGAAGTGTTACGGAGAAAGTGTCTCTCGCCATCACTAGAGCGCAAGTTCGCGCTCCTTTCTTCTGGAGTCTGAGACGAATGCGAGACGAGCGTGGCCAGGCTGCGACTGGATGCTCGGAGAAGTTTCGCTATGTTAAGATATGTGCAGCTGAAGGGATGGACACAAACTCCCTCAGGATGTTCTTGGCCATCTCAATATTGTTCTGTGCAATCATAAGGGCTTTTTGGATGTCCTGATGGGAGTAGCCTTGGCTCAAGAGGTGCTCGATCTCGCTGCTGATCTGCTGGCTGGGCCCTGGGCTCGCTCCGGGGGGAACCGGGCTGGGCCTGCGTTCTGAGTTGATGCGACGGGGAAGAGGCTTAGGAGGCCGCTCGGGGGCTTCAGTGGGGTCCATGACTGCTGAAGACACAATGTAGAATAAAAATTGTCAATATATAGACACTGAAGTCTGAGATAGTGATCATACTGCAGTTGCTGTTCTAAAATAAGGAAGCCATGACACTCTCATGGGGTTGAAATTTGATCTAAAATAAATATAGGTGGAAAAAGGAAATGCAAGTGCTATATTTGCTCTGTAAATATATCTTAAAATGCTGACTACAATAGAAATCAAAAGATTGGACACACTTAACTGACTGTTTCCTCATCTAAAAAATCTTTTTATATTAAAAGATGCTTGAGTGCTTGAAGCTGTTGATGAGTTAGATAAAATATAAATATTAGATGACTATATTACATGAAAAACTGAAAAATTAGAAATGTTGCCTCTGCAACTAATCGAAATAAGTCGAAGTACTAAAATAACTAACTTTAATAGTTTCAGTAAAAAAAAATTAAAAATACGTCAATATTTATAAAAAGTAAAAACTAATAAAAATGACAATAGAACATTACAAATTTACTAAAATTTTAACTAAAATAAAAATGAAAACTGAAAATATAAAGATAAAAGCTAATACAAAATACTATAAAAACTAGTATATGAATTTATATAAAACTATTATATACTAGTTATTTTGTATTATAAAAAACGTATAAATAAAAAATATATAAAAATAATAAATAATAGTACAAATAATACTAAAATAACACTCGGTATGACTTACTTGCTGCCGCTCCGAGCTCGCTGTCTATGGAAAGGCGGCTGAAGGCTGAAGATGTAGGGTTAACATCTGAAAGCGTGCGTCGGGCGAGGTTGGTGGGTATATGGAGCTTGGGATAGTCATAGCTGTTCTCCTCTTCCTCCACACCACATGCACCAACAGGATCCCTCGGGCCATTAGAGCAGGTCAAAGGAGGCAATTCAGAATAATCTAAACAATGAAAGAAATACAATATTACACAGTTTAGAATATACTAGCAGGCTACCTATATGAAGATGAAGAGCTTTAAATATCACAGTACCCGAGTCTCTGGCCTGATGTGGTCCAGAGGCAGTAAGGGCCTGGGCTTGGATGTTGTACATGGCTTCGTACATCTGTGGGCTTTCTGGCTCCATTTCATTGAGCATACCCCTAGAGATGTAAACAGTGACTGTCAGTACACTGAAAGAGATCTGATGTCTATGTCTAGTCTATTCAGAGTGTCTCTTGGAGTTTTGCACCTCCGTGGCTGCAAAAACAAGGTTACCTGGGACTGAGAGAAAGTGGAGGAGGTGGTCTAGGCACAGCTTCCCCTGCAGCAGAGGGCAACACTGGCAGAGAGGATGGAGTCATATACTCAGACTCCTCATCGTTTTCACAGGCGTCCTCCTCGTTCTGAGCTTTGACTGCTGGGAGAGGCCTGTCAGCACAGGAGAAAGAGTCATCACACTGCTCGCTGCTGCTCGCTTTACTGACAGGTTCAGAGTGAGTGTAGGAAGTGAGGGGGTGTTTTTATTATAGATTACTACATGATATCGCAACAAACAAAATCGTCAGACATTGCGATATTTGGGTTCTGTCCACTTTATATATATATATATATATATATATATATATATATATATGGAAATAATTAATTCTAGAATGGTGATTTTGTTGGGGAGTGTATCTGCACAGGAAAAAATAAATAAATAAAAGCTCAAAAGACTTCATCTTCAACTTTTTGAGTGCAAACCATCCTTTTAGGGTTGAATGATTTGGGGAAAAAAATTAATTTGAGAATGGCTGAGTGTTGTAGGAAGTGAGGGGGTGTTTTTATTATAGATTACTACATGATATCGCAACAAACAAAATCGTCAGACATTGCGATATTTGGGTTCTGTCCACTTTATATATATATATATATATATATATATATATATATATATGGAAATAATTAATTCTAGAATGGTGATTTTGTTGGGGAGTGTATCTGCACAGGAAAAAATAAATAAATAAAAGCTCAAAAGACTTCATCTTCAACTTTTTGAGTGCAAACCATCCTTTTAGGGTTGAATGATTTGGGGAAAAAAATTAATTTGAGAATGGCTGAGTGTACATGGGTTTTTACAAGAACAAACTCAAACCATGAAGTGAACAGAGCTCAGAATCTCTTTTTTCATAGTCCACATTTTTTAAATCAGTTTCAGAATTAAACTTGGCACTGTGTTCATTTATACACAAACAGCTCATGATACTGTTTCAGCTTCTCAGAGCAGCTTGTTTCACACGTGTAAATGAACATAGTGCCGCGCTTCACTCTGAAAGCAGCACTAAGCGATTAACTATTGCATTAAGCCATAGTGCGATTTCGGTTTTATTTCAATACGCAGTCTTTCGTGCTGCCCTAGTCTTTATGTTGGCTCTAGGGCACCTACCTGACTGCCAAGGAATAGATGGCATTAGCCGAGGCAGATGGCTTTACTTTCGGGCTGTCGTAATCTGACCCAGGATTGGATAACCCGAAACTCTGCACATGAAGCAAATGAAGGTTATATAAAAGTTCAGATTAGGTTTCTGTCAATGTGTAAATATGGCATGTGCGTCCTCACCAGCTGGTGGTCGAGGCTGGGAGGACCGTTGTTTCTCGGTCCTTCTGCTCTGGCATCGAGAGTGGAGGGCAGTTGGAGAGGCAGGGAGTGTCTGTTTGAGAGTTCTCGAGACCCACGGGAGTCTCCGCTTGCTGGTGGCTGTGATGGGGCTTTGGGTATGGGCCGGGAGTTCCAGTCCGGCATGTTGCGGTTAGGAGGGGCAGGAGGCAGTTTGTCCCGAGGAGGTTCTCCGGGCGTACTGGGAAGAGGGCGTCTCGGGAGCCGGTTGTCTGATCCGGTTGGGTGTGGTCGGTCTGGGGGAGGAGGAGGAGGCAGGTCCCTTAGGGACGGGGGAAGCGGTAACGGCTTGTCCTTGTGATGGGATGGGGCCTGGCAATGGGTTGAATAAACCAGATATTATGAACTGAACATCAAGCAGCACTCTGCTAATTCTAACTCTAAAATTTTCTTCTGAAGTGTTTAAAAAGAATGCTTAATACATTCCAAACTGAGGTACTGAGGGTGAAAAACTTGGCGGAACATTCCATGCTAGTGCATTTACCTTGGATGTGGCGCCTGGACTAGAGGCCCCAGGAGGGTTGGTGGGTCTGAGAGGAAGCAGATCCAGCCGAGGAGGTACTGGGGGAACGACGGGCTGAGGGGCAACTGACATCGGTGAGGGTGGCCTCTCCACCTGAAACAAGCCAAACCATTCAGCATACATCTATACCAACATTTCGGAGCCTTTACCACAATCTGGAGCTGAGTAATACTGAGATGTCTGCGGGGAAAGTTATTTGGTTTGGATTTGTAGGAATTCCTATGTTAAACTTCAAAACAGGAGCCTCGAACACAGTAAAAAAATTATATTTACTGAGGCAGGTGACAGCTAAATCAATGCTGTTCAAAAACAGGTTGAGGTGTAGTAGTTGACACCTTTTTGCAGGTTTAGCAAAGCAGAATGGTCCTTAACCTCATAATGAGATAAAAGTTGTTCTCACTTTAGCACCAACCAGCTTGCTAATCATGAAAGGAGAGTCCTCAAAGTGATCATCATCGTCATCATCGTAGCTGGGCGAAGGGGCTCCCTCAGCCCCAAACATGCTCCTGCAGCCTCCATAGGAGCCTCCACTATTGGGGTCCTTGGGATCAAAGGGGTCAACGACGATGGGCTCGGTGCCCTTAATTTCACAGCGACAGAACGGGCAGCCCTGGCCTTCTGACTCCTGAAAGAGCGAGAAAAGAAATCAAGAGTGAGGAAAACACATGCACGTGTATCCAGACTAATGGACAGCTGAAGGTTCTTCAGGTTTACCTGCCAGGCTGTGAGACAGGAAGTGCACATGAGATGGCCGCAGGGCTCGATCTTCACATCCTTGTCATTCTCAGCACAGATCTTACACAGCTGGAAAGTAGAGCCCATCTCACAGTA